TATTCCCCCCCCCCCCCCCCCCCCCTCCCACTACCTACACCACGCGTGTTATCCCAAAATGGCCGAGGCCTTGTCAACATACCTCATGCTTCGATATTGCCCCGTCGTCATCCATGAGCATGCATTCTCCCAAGCGCCCCCGCTGCAGCAATCCAAGGATCTCACACTGAAGACCGATCTCGCCTTGGCAAGTAGCTCCGGTGCCAGCAAGGGTTCCGACGTGCATTTGTCGCCTCAGTCTCTGCACCGCCTGACTCCTCCACGGCCAACCGAAGTATGTGCCACCTACGGAATGCTGACAAGCCGACAGATCGACGACAATGCCTCAATCACAAGAGAGGTGGCAAGTGTGTGTGGTTCGACAAGACGAGGCGTGCCCCGAGCACCACCTGTGACCGAAGAGGTGGCGGCACGCTAGGCACGGCGTACGCGTGTGCCTGTGAGTGCTGCGCCTAGTAGCTCCGACAATATAAACCCAACTGCTGAAGGGGCCGAAGACAATACTGTATGTGGCAACACGNCCACGGCCAACCGAAGTATGTGCCACCTACGGAATGCTGACAAGCCGACAGATCGACGACAATGCCTCAATCACAAGAGAGGTGGCAAGTGTGTGTGGTTCGACAAGACGAGGCGTGCCCCGAGCACCACCTGTGACCGAAGAGGTGGCGGCACGCTAGGCACGGCGTACGCGTGTGCCTGTGAGTGCTGCGCCTAGTAGCTCCGACAATATAAACCCAACTGCTGAAGGGGCCGAAGACAATACTGTATGTGGCAACACGTACGAGGTACATCTACAAAGGTGTATTGCTTAACGGGAGGGGTGGAGGCAGGGGAACACATGAATGACAGTGCCACAATATCCTGGTCGATCACAATGCGGAGGCCGCGTACCTTGTTTCCCATGCCAAAGCAGTTGAAGGCGTCGTTGTAGCAAGCGACAGGGTCCGAAATACGAGGATGTCGTTGTTGAGATGGAAGCCTTTCCTCCTCAAAACGAACAGTGGGTCGTCAGATGTTCCTTCCTTGCACCAAGGCGCGTGGGTCACCTCGTACTTCTGCGTCGAGTCCTCCTCGGAACGGCGCCGTTTTGCCCGAGCTTGGACCACGAACCCTTCCCCCAAAAACCGATCCCATAGAGTGCACCGAACACCTTGGTGCCACTCACCATCGTGCTTGCCAGCTTCCATCTCGTCGGCCGTGTAGATCTCCGCCAGGCCCAGGACGCCGGCAACATTGTGCTGCGTTTCCGCTCCAGCAGTACAGTCTTCCCAGACTCGCACAAGTCTTCCTCGCATCTCCGCCTGCCCCACAATTCGCACCTCCGCTACTGGCCGAAACCCTTCAACAGTTGCAACTACTCCGCCGCTTGCAGTGTCCCAGAAGAGCTCAAGGAGACGACAGGCAGAAGGCGTGCCAGCGATTTCGCAAATGCATTTGTCGTGTACGTACACTTTCTCCCACAAACGCTGCTCTGTATGCCATCATGGGGACGTTCTCGACAGCGTACCGTTTATGTTGGACTCCCTCACGTTGTCATTCAGCTTGGTCGGGATACAAATGACATGGTCGCTCGTCAACGAGTTGGCGGCGGCTTCCTCTCCGCGCAAAATTCCCCGCCGGGTAGGTTTCTGAGAGTGCCGTCTCCGAGACCAACTTCATGTCGCGAGCGAGAAGCAGGTTCACAGGTACGTCATACACCACCGCAGAGCTCTTCCCTTGTTGTGTTGACGGGACATTTCGCTCGAGAACCCGTAGAAGAGGAAGGTATTGCCGCATGCGGTTGTTGAAGTGCGCAGCGTTAACACGTTCCAGTCCCCTCACGTCGAAACCGTTGCCCTCGTCCTCGAGAAGGAGTATATCCAGCAGCCCGCCTAAGGCTTTTTGCGAAATCTGGTGCGTGTGCTGCCATATCAATATCAGCTGCTGTTCCTTCGTGCGGAACGGATAGAAATCAGATTCTTCCGCATTCGTGCTGTGCCCAAGGTTTTCAGGGCCGCCCTCCATCGTCGAGCTCGCAGCATAAGACGGGGCATGGGTGTGAAGGTTTTCCAGCCTACGCATTGCTTCAGCGCTGCTACGACTGTCTGACTCAATTGGGGGCTCGAGATGCTGTCGACGCTGTTCGGTGTTTGATTCTACACCACCGTATTGCTCCTCTCCGCCGTCATGCACGTCGTCACTCGACACAGGCCCCCCACCCCCCATGCCTTTGCCGCCATAAATGTTTGGATCGACGTCCGGAAAGCTTTGGTTCACGCTTAGTTGTGCATCCACTCGATCCATAAGGGCTGCTAGACCACCGGGGGCGATGCCAGAATCTCGCCCATTGGACGCCTGAGACGGCTCGCTGTCGTCAACCGCACTTGGCTCTTCATAGACATCTCCCAACCCCGTCTCCATCTGCTGTAGTTCGTCGTATTCCTCATCTCTCTCGTGTCCTAAATAGTAGTTTGAGGAAAGACAACAGCATGCGCACTTGAGAACAGAGTATGTCGCCGGGGAAAACTCGTGATGAGCATGTCCTCGCGATCTGTCTGGTTGATTGATCAATTTTGCAAATGGCCATGCAGGATTCTCATGCGGCGTAACGTTTGAGTAGGATGGCTACGGAACTGCCGACGTGCAACGACGTATACGTGGCCCCGAGCAAAAAGGAAATGCGTTCTTGACGGTGCCGTTCAGCGCAGATCAGCGAATTCTGCAGAATACGCGTGCGGTTCCTGATGCAATCTGCAGCCAAGGTTCCGATTGACAATTGGGCCATCAAATCACTCTGGGTGCAGGATGTCTTTGACTTGTTGACGCCTGCCTTACGGGGTCAACGCAAGTCGGCGCTTTTTCCCAACAGGGCGAGTTCTACACCGCCTGTGGGACCAAAATGTACGTATGTGCTTATACACCAAGTTTCGTTCATCGTTCGTACATACCCTGTGGAACAAGCACACGCCTTTGTACGGTACCTAGAATAATCTATGCATCGACATGTCCGCGCTTGTAAACCCAAGTGGTCAGCACACACACATGTACGATCAATATATCTTAGCTCCTACTATCATTCGCACAGCGGTGTATTCATACCTTGGGCATCGGCCGATGGTGTGGCACCCTCGGGAGACACTGTGTGTGGAGGACGCAGTGTGGGTATCTCCATGTGCACCACCATCGTCGAGCGCCGGTGTGACGCTGACGTCGCCGGATCTGCGCGTGGAAAGCCAAAGCCCGAAGGATGGATCCACGGGGGGTACGCAACCTTTACATCGGCTTCGGTCCTTTTCTCGACGCCATCTTTCGCCGCACTCGCAGTAGAACCCTGCCTCCCTCATAGGGAATTTCCCTGATGATGAACCTTCCCCTCATTCGCCATCGACAGCGCCACTGCGCAGCACGGGCTCAGCGACCATGGGTAGGGCAACCCGGGAACGAGTTATATTTATTTCGCGCGAAGCGCGAAAAACATACGAAGAGGCGTATTCGAATGACGCGTCCTTCCATTGTCTTAAAGTTTGACAGAAGGAATCCATGTGTGGTTATTCTGTGCCCGAGGTTGCGGGTTCAATCCCCATCAGCGCCAAACTTTGTTTGCACCTTCCTTTTTTCCCCGATTTTTCTTCACGACGGGAGGGCCATCACCACGTATTGGCGGTAAATTAGCGAGTAAACCACCGTCTACGCGAAGGAAACTGTAGTTTGTTGCTGTACACGCCTGCAAAATTGCAGTCTGCGTGAAACATGGCAGCTTTTCCCTGTCTCGCGTGTGCAGCTTCAGAACAACAACATGTGTTATTTTCTACAGGAAAAGAGTATTCTTCGTGCTCGCCATCAGAACGTGACGTCTTCTTGAAACTATTAGTCATAAACTCTCGCCCACTTGTCGTGTCGTGCTTCGAACCAAAGATACAGAGAAAAAAAAACGGTATCAACATCATAATACATATGACTCGCCGAAACCATGACGCGTAACCGCTACTGTGTCGCATGCTTCAGGTGCAAGCTACTACCACAGAATAACCGGTTCCTCCCTGCATCATATTGCTGGGCGGTTTAATACAACAAGAACACCAGGAACCCCATGCTCGTTTTACGTATATACAAGTATAATTCAGCTTTCGGTGTATGAGCCACGGCAGACATTGCAAAGGCAGGGCGGGAACACCCTTTTCTTCCGTGCTTAAATGTATTTCAGTTCGCTTTGTGCGCGTCGAAACCTGGCAAGAGGCATGCAAGAAGGAAACACAGCAAGTGGAAAATCGGACCACGCCTCAAGCTCCATGAGAGAACCCAGGTGGAACAAATTTCGCACACACCACACGGAAACACGGCACAAGGCCTAAGGACTAACACGCAAACACCCCTACGACGAAAACACCACAGGGGAAACAAACTCAAAGTACGAACGAAACATATCTACGGACGGCGAGAGGCGCATGCTACTGGACCTGCTCGTATTCGTTGAAGACTGTGAAAATGCCGTGCACGGGGCGGGTGCGCCNAAACACCACAGGGGAAACAAGCTCAAAGTACGAACGAAACATATCTACGGACGGCGAGAGGCGCATGCTACTGGACCTGCTCGTATTCGTTGAAGACTGTGAAAATGCCGTGCACGGGGCGGGTGCGCCCTCCGTGCGCTGTTGCTTCTAGCCGAATGATCTTCGCAAACTTGAACGAAGCATCTCCAGCTAGTACGGTTCCGTCCCAGCGCTGGTGCACGCGGGGCAAATAGTCCTCCCGCGTTTTCCTTCGACACGTAGTCAGGAAGGCGATCCAGGCATCCGACATCCCACGCGTTGAAACTGGTAGGGCGCTGCTCCGACTCCTCCACGGTCCCGTTGTATTCAACACACCGCTCGCACTTGTACCTGTCCGCGAACAAACAAGCGGGACAGCCGACAGTCAAAAGGCGGCGACTTGATCCGCGCGGTTTACAAATTGCAGCACACCACATACTCGGTGTGCCACCAAAAAACCTCACGCTGACTGGGCTTACCGGAATCCTATGATGTACCCCACGTCTTCCTCCATGAACACCCGTCGTGGCCCCTTGGGATTCCATCCATCTGGCGAATCCCTTTTCCAGCACCTTGGACACGGAATTCCCGCCAGCGCCAGCTCCGGGAACAAATACTCGGGTATCCACGCGAACAAGCAGTGGCTTCAGAAGGAACGGAGAAAGTTTCGGCAATCCTGCGCAAAAACGTAGTGGACAGCGGTCATGGAGGCATGAGAAACGAAAATCGAGTTCGCGTAGCTTATGGACGGAAAGCGGTCAATCGCCAGGAGTAAAAAACTGCTGTTCAAAGCAGCAACGGAAACCCGGAANGCGAACCCCTTTTCCCGCACCTTGGACACGGAATTCCCGCCAGCGCTAGCTCCGGGAACAAATACTCGGGTATCCACGCGAACAAGCAGTGGCTTCAGAAGGAACGGAGAAAGTTTCGGCAATCCTGCGCAAAAACGTAGTGGACAGCGGTCATGGAGGCATGAGAAACGAAAACCGAGTTCGCGTAGCTTATGGACGGAAAGCGGTCAATCGCCAGGAGTACAAAACTGCTGTTCAAAGCAGCAAAGGAAACCCGGACGTCGGGTGCATACCTGAGGTGTTCTGCATCGTAGCACACTTCGGGAGAATGAGGGGGCTGCTGTAGGGGAACTTTCCACTGCCTCCCCTAGGTGCCGCCACGCCGCCGCTGTGAAGGATGATGTTGGCGTCGATGTTGTTCTTGACGGTACGGAAATGATCCCGCATTGCAGGAGACAACCGTTGGCTATCCTCAACACCAACCCCGCCGACGGGAGGGGGAGCGGACGTTCCCGCCGCTCCACCTGCCCGTGCCACTGCCCCTCTACCAGCCTCTCGTACCCCCATCGGTGCTCGTCGTCCACTACCCCTTCCTCCGCCCCCCCCTGTACCCCCACCTCCTTGTGTTACCCGTCTAGCTCTGCCACTGCCTTGACCTATGCTTGCTGCTCCGACGGCCGCCGCCGCCACAGCCGCAGCTTGAGCTATCGTCCCCCCTGTAACGGCACCTGCCGTGCCTCCTGCCGCAGCTGTTGGTCGAGTTTCAGCACAGGGACTAGAACTTGCAGTGCCGCCTCGTCCTCGTCTTTGTTCCCCTTGTAACGCCGCCGCCCAAGCCGCTAGTAGCGGTACCGGTGGTTGAGGAACAGGTGCGGTAGATGGTGGTGGGCTTGATGACATTACTCCTGCTGTTANGCACAGGGACTAGAACTTGCAGTGCCGCCTCGTCCTCGTCTTTGTTCCCCTTGTAACGCCGCCGCCCCAGCCGCTAGTAGCGGTGCCGGTGGTTGAGGAACAGGTGCGGTAGATGGTGGTGGGCTTGCTGATGTTACTCCTGCTGTTGCCGCTTGTGTTGCTGTTGCCGCTGCTGGTGATGTTGCTGTTGGTGCTTGTGGTTCTCCTGCTGTTACTGTTGCAGCTGGTTCTACTGTCCCTCCTGCTTCCGGCCACTCTGTTGATGCAACTACCTCTGATGCCGCTGCTCCTACGGGACGTTCTCTACGAGCTTTCCCCTTGCCTTTCCCCTTGGAAGACGGCGACTGGGTTGAAGCGGTTGCGGAGTGATCTGATGCCCCACGAACGACATGTACTGCCTGGCTCGTACTGCCTCTTCCGACGTCAGATATCGTCGTCGGTGTACTCCTCTCACCCGCACTTTCCTCGTCGTTGCTAGCACCTTCGCAACTGACTCGCTGACGCTTCCGTGTTGTTGTGTCTGCCCACCCCATGACCGTACGGAAAGCTGCTGCCTGCTGTGATCGCTTCTCCTCGTCGCTCTTTTTCTGTGCGTTTGATTTCGTCCCGGGCTTTTTTGCTCCAGCCGCAGGCGTTGATCCTTTCCTGCGACCCATGGTAAGTCCTCTGTGGTGCTGTGCGTGTGCTGTGGGTTGTACATGTGTATGCTGCGGTGAGAGAGCTGTGTCCTTTCTCTTTGCGCAGACAAAGCGCAGAGTCCTGCCGCGTGCAGCGCTGCGCGCGCCTGTCCCGCCGGCGCTCCCGCGTCATTACAACTCCTCCTATACTAATCCCAAGTGCCGCTTTTAAAACCCGCTTTCAAACTCCCAATCAGCTTCGTTCAAATGCGGTCGTTTGGGCTAATCAGAGGCGCCGCTTTTAAAAAATTCATCCCTACCCATGGTCCCTGTTCCAGGCTTTCCCCCCGCCCCCTCCGGGATATCCCAGACTGGAAAACAGCGGGGTGGGGTGGTGTCACACGGATACACTCTGTAGTGCCCCCTGTCACAAATATCGCGCGCTCATACACTACGCTACGCGTTGGACACCTAGTGGACATGGAGGAGATGGGGACCAGGGCGGCCAATGAGGTGAGTGGAATCATCTAGGACAAGTGCACCCGTATGTAGACTGCGCCTGTGTGGCTGTCGTCGCTCGTGGCGTCGTGATGCCATGATCCCTCCTTTATTTTTTTTCAATTTTCGCCACAACACCATCACACACACAGCAGCCCACACTTGCCACAACCTTCTTCGCCCTCCCCTTCCGTCTCTCTCCTTCGTGCGCCAACTTATATTCCTACTGCGATGTCTCACCGTGCTGTTTCCCGAACGACCTCTGCGTCACCTCTCAGCGCCGTCAATGTCAACAAACATCAACCCAGAGGGAGGACGGCCAAGGCTGCGGCATCCCGTACACCCAGCAAGGAGCAGGTGGCCAAGACCAAGGGCGCGGGCCGACACAAGTCGGTCTCGAAGAGGAGGAAGGTTCTGCGGTCTAAAAACCCACCGATAGTAGGTTGAGAGTTCGCCTGCGCTTGCTTACTTGACCACGTGAGTTGTGTTTCTACCCTTGCGTGCAGCATGCAAAAAAAAAAAGTTGTCCATCTCTTCATGAGTCTAGAATGCATATGCTATACTAATACAGAGATAAAAGTAGGGTCGAAACATGTATCCGATGCATAGCTGCAGCAAGTTTATTTCCTGCCGAAGCAAGTGCAGGTTTGAGCAGTGCGCCGTCGTGTTGGCGCACATGATACTCTGAGAATCGCCGTGCCCGAAAGTCGTGATCACCGATGTGAGGTCTTGAGCACCTCGTAGTCCACCTTCACCAGTTAAAATTCGATGTTGTGTAAAGGCGCGCGAAGGTTGCATTTGTCCCCAATGTGTACTTCATTCGGTAGTCAAAATTCCTCAGACTCCGTTCTGACCGCGACGTGAGTTCTTCTTCCTCCCTACAGCAATACTCTGAACACAAAGACACAACAGAAATGCGTTTCCCAATCAAAAATAATAAACTCTGATTTCGGTTGCAACGCACGAACGTTTGTGTTGGCCCCAATGTTGCCTTTGAGTATTTGTTATGCCGGTTTTGGGTGTGTGGAACATGTGTATGTGGACCAGACATTGTAGCTACTCCCAACACAACGTTTGACCAGAAGAGCCGGAATGCGACCCCCGCGAGAGATACGTACGGGACACAAAAAAACAGAGCAGATATGTGATGAATGGAAGCGGTTGTTCCGTGTATCCGACTCATACTTGTATAGTCCGGGCGTTCCCCGGTTGTGCCCGCCGCGGTTTACGGATGCACAATGATGAATCGTGGACGATGAGGGCCTTTCGACAACAAAAATGTTGCGGTTTGAGCTCGTTGCCGCTGCAACCGCCCTCTCTATCCGTTCTCGATGAACTCCGCATTGCAAGTCGTCGGATATGTCACCTTTTTTTGGAGCACCCTACATTGGTCGTCGGTCGGTTGTTAAACAAACACATTTCTATTTGAGGTGCAACACGTGAAAAATCGTACAGAGACAGTAACGCCTGAGACATGTTAATTCTGTTCGAATAATTTTGGTGACAACCTCCGTGCACACCCTATCCCTACGTGCCGCCACCCTCTCCGTACTTTGACGGCAGGACTCATGGACTGGGATGCCGACTCTGTTCTACTGCTGTTGCAAGGTGTTCTTCTGCACTAGGGTTTATGTCACCACCTACCCGTCGCTCCCCCGGTTCGTCGATAGGGTGTTGGAGGATTACTGAGTTTCACGTAATTGCGCTGTACCGATCAGAAGTGATACACCAACTGCCGCAAAAAGCTCCGTGCGGAAGCTCCATACGTGTCCCGGGGCCACTCCGGCGTTCAAGTGACCGCTCGCCCGGTGCTATTGTAGCCCGGGGTCCGAGAGTGCTGTGGGCGAGGGATATCCTCACCGTGCTGCTTTCTGCCGCCCTCTCTCCGCGACCACAGCGGTCATCATCAAGGCCGTCGTTACGGCTCGCTCAGAGATGCACGGTGATGTGCGCGGCGCCCTCGTGGACTTTTTTGAACCCAATGATCGAAGAAGAGGCGGCCACGAACAACCCACGGACCGCCGCCGACCTCTTGCGTGGGGTCCGCGAGCAGGTCGCGGACATCGACCCCGCTGCCGAGGTACACATGCCTGACAATCATAACTTGGACGTAGAACTCCAACGTACATATGCCACTTCGTAGAATCGTGCGGGCCTAGTCACGACATGTTTCCCCCCACATTTTTCGTGCCACTCTCACATCGGAAGTAAAGGCCATGTGACAATATTTGAAAAGACTAACGTACCCGAATGCTTGTCTACAACTCACCTTATCGATTGCACAACGTTCCCATTAACCACTACGATCAGATACTGTCGTGTGATTTATTGGAACCTCTTCGCCCGGTTCTGCTCCAATGTTGCAGGCAATCAATACCTTGCTTCACCGCGTCATGTGGCGCTACACCAAGGCCCACATGCAGTCGACACGCGAGGACCTGTCCGAGGGGCAACTGGTCGGCGAGGACCGGCTTCACGAGGACTTCCTCGCGCAGGTGACTCATTGGTCACGTCTGGTCTGCCGTCTCAAACTTCGGCGCTTGTGCCGGGGCATCCTTAAGGAACTACGGTATGCCACCCCACTCACGTTGTAAGAGGAGGCTCCAGCGGGCAGCAGGTCAATGTAGAGACATGAACATCTAACTGAACTCCTCAGCATGTACGAGCATGTACGAAAGCTCCGATTGCATCGCAGGTAGTATCCGTAGGAAGCAGCAGCACGGTACACGCACTGCAAGGTTACATGTTTCCAGATGCATGCACTCGTCAATAGCACCGCACCGTTCGGTAGAACAACTTGACTCCGTCTGTCACCACGCCGCAAAATGACGACGGTGTTGCGCAGACCACCTATACCCCCCTGCCTGCTCGCGTCATGTTACACGCCATGTGGTCACGCCGGCGCTGCTGCATGCGGCGAACGACATCGCTGCCCTCCCGGTGGTAGAGATCGGCACACTCGAGAGCGTCGTGTGCAAGTGCACGAGGAAAGCGAGGGCGTGGGGGAGGCTTTCCAACGGCGGGTACAGCTCCACGAACGCGAAGGCATTCCAGGAAGGGTGAGTTTTGTCGAACCGACCTTTCTTCAACCCCAACTGATGTTGGGTTGAGTATGTCTCCGTCAGCTAATTGCCGGGCGGATTTATTCCAATTCTGACTTGTGGTGGAATGAGCTTTTTCTGGTTGAGCATGAAGCCAAGAACCGCGTACCCGTCTTTTTTTTTTCTGGCCGACATTGGCCAAATCGGGGTGTGGGATTATCCATTGAGAGTTGCACGGTAGTTCTTGATTTTACTCGCAATATGTAGGCTGGAGTCGTCAACAACTTTGTGCACGTCAAGAGTCAGCGGTCCTGCTGGTTTGGTTTGAAGGAGCAGGTAACATGTGCGTGACATAAAGCATGCTGTGAGTGCCCCCCCCCCTGCGTTGTTCCGGGGCACCGTTGTTTGGCCTCTTCACCCCCACCTCCACCCCCTCCCTCCCACCCCGTGGTAAACGCAGGAAACTTCACGACGGTGTTGCCAAAAATCTTGAATACCGACTGCCGTGTCATCTTCACCGAAGTTTGTGAACTTTCGATATCGTCAGCTAGCAAGCTTCTCCACGCCCTGTTTTTTCGTCACGTGTTTGTCGTGTTGCGAATTATTGTTTGGTGCAAATGCTGTATTTCTGCAAGTTTCGGAATTCCCCGATAGATTCGCTCCGGGGGTAGTTTTCTCGTTGTTTTTATATCCCCCCACCTCCTACTCTTGTGCTGTTGTCGTCAGGGAATACAAGCCATTCTTGTGTTGTTATGCTCGTCATGCGCTTGGGCCTGTCACTCCATCTGCCGAAACAAGTTTTCGTCGATCCTTGAGCCATACATCAACTTTATCTCATGTTGCGTACCTATGCCTTCCCTTTCCCCACGTGATTTTCGGACCAGATTCTGGTACTCCATGCTCCAGTTCATGACGGGCCCGCGTCGCCACGTCTCCGGAATCCTGACAATCCCCAAGTCGGACTACGGCCACCCCAAGATCATGCGCTTCCAGTCCCTACACACCGGCTGCAAAGACAACCTCGTCGTGGAGGAGACCCCGGCCGATGACGTCCACGTCGAGACTCCGATCTCGGCGCATATCTCGACGAGGTGAACTGATCGTCGTTGTTGATTAGTCGTTCACAAGCTCAGCATCTGTATGGGTCGCGGAATTGCTGGCAAATGTTCTCGGGCGTAGCGCTTGCTGTGGGGAACAGGTTTTTTGTCGCGTTCGGCAGTAAGTTTATTTCGTCACCGTTCCCTTTCGAGCAACGCGTGAAGCGCTTGGAGATCGATACGCGCCGGCGTACCCTGGACGTGGTACACACAACGCAGAAATGTTCCTCCGTGTCGCCGGGGGTAGGGACACCTCAAGTATTGAGGTGCTTCGCGGACAAGGGGGGAAGTAGGTTCGGTCGAGCTTGATTGAACTAATCGAGTTTTTGTCTGTACGCACAATAAAGTGTCGGCCGGAGAGTGTACATGCCAGACTAGTTGCGTGGACCTGGAGGCATGGAGTGCAATTATTTGGTGGCTGGAATTACTTGTTTTCTTCTCCGTGTTTTGTTGGATCTTTGTCGAGCGTGTGGCTCACCATGCGCCCTGATTTGCTTGGTGCACGTCATGGACATGTGCACATTCCCATTCCGTTGAAAGTGTGGCAATCAAGTTGGGGTTGTGAGCCCCACCATTGCATTTGCGTGATGTTTTTTTGGTTCTGTAACGAGCAGCGGGCACACTCTTGACATTCTTTTAACATTCTTCTTTACGTTGATTCGACCCTGACGCAGACATGACTGTTTGCAGGATGCCGAGTCGATCTGTGCAGAGGATGCGCGTGATAATCGTGTCGGCGTTGGTGCTGTACGATTGAGCGACGACATGGCATGAAAACCGGGATCGTTCGCGATTAACCCGGAGGCGTATGCTCACAAGCCATCGACAACCACGAAAAACCAGAGTGCAAAACAGCACACCACACAAAATTGCTGCCGCAGTTTGCTTACAGGGTGCAATTCGGGCCACCCTGGCAGGGTGGACCCTGTCCAGGGTGTCTATGAAAGACCCTGCCGGCGGTGCACCCTTCTGCCGTTCACAAGGTAGGGTACCCTGGCAGGGTGGCCAAAACACCACCCTGCCAGGGTAGCCAAATCGCTACAGGTGCGTGGTTCACAACCATGTCAGGGTTCCATGGTTTGTGACGCCCCGGGATATGTGCGACCTTGCGGAAGTAAGTGAATCGCAACCCTGTCATGGATTTGTCGTTTCTGACAACCTGCGAAACGTACGACCTTGTGGACGTCGATGGTTCGGAACCCTGTCGTCATGATTTTTGTGTCGTTTGTGACACCCTGGGATATGTGCGACCGTGTGGGAGTATCTTTGTTCGCCACCCTGCCAGGGTTCCACAGTTTCTGACACTCTGGGGAACGTGCGACCTTGTGATGGTATGCGTATGTAACCCGTCCTAGGCATCTCCTCTCAACTTTTTTTTCGCAAAACGTACCCCTAGAAGGTACAAAACACACACATTCATAGGAGAAAGTACATGCCCACACAACCATCTTTCACTCGAGGAATATTACTGTTTCCGAAACATAGACTATGCATGCGGCAAGGTATAGACTATACTTCCATCATGCAGATCTACAGCAGAGGAATTATACAGTGCCGACGAGAACACTTGCTTCATAATAATGCCACGTTTCGCGAGAGGGAGATATCACGTCTCACCTCACTGTATCAACCTCTAATCATACGTAGTGGAAAGTCAGGCTCCTTTGGCAGCTCCTTATGGTTTCGCCCTCAAGTCTGCGACGGCCCCTCGCGAAAGGGAAACCTCAACTTACCCAAAACTCTCTGGCATTCAGGGGCAATCCAAGCGACCACCCTACATCGAAAGCCAGTGGCACGCGCAGTGTGCTCTCTGTGCACCCGTCGTAATCGATCCCCTCGATGTGGGTCTACATAGATATATAGAAAAAGATTGTTCTCCATTGATGGCGGCTCCTAATGTAGTTCCGCCCTCAAGTCTGCGACGGCCCCGTTTGGTCTGTCTGGTGTTTCCTGTACCGTTTCAAAATTGTCCCCAGGGGAAATACCTAGCGAGAGGTTGAACACAACGGTATAGCCAGAATTTGGGAAAAAGGGCGCAGGCGGCAAGGATGTCGATTTCAAAACTGCACGGTATAGTTAGATATCGGTACCACGCCGGGAAGTACCACAAATAAATCCGCATCGACTTTTGTGGTGTGTTGTTGATGTAATCGGTGTGGAGTGAACGCGAGTGTGGCATCGTAACTCGGTTTGCTTGGGGGCACTTCACGGTATTTCGGGCGTGGAGCAGTGTGCGGTCCTAGTGCTGGTCGACTCGGTTCGCTCGAAGGCACTTCACGAGGTTTCGGGCGGTGCAGGGTGCGGGCACGGTGGATTCAGTCGAAAGAGGGAGCGTGAATTCGAGCACAAAGAGAGACAGAGAGAGATACGTGCAGCAACTGCTGTGATGACGATGCCGTATGTAACACGTGCGCCTATGATGTGTGGTTGTATCTGTTGATGCACACACACGCTTGGAGGAGAGGGTACATCCACGCTGCTCTGCGGTTGGTTCGTAACCGAAGCAGACAGCTGCTACGAACGCAATACCTTGGTTGCTGCGCTGACAACCTCGCGCTACGGTATAGCTCATGGTAGTAGCAACCGTCTGTGTTGTTTACAGTAGTAGACATGCAACCCAGTAGCAACATGTGGGGTGCCTGCTGTGTGTTACTATGCACTGCTGTGCCTGCTGTGTGTCTACTCAACGTGAAGGCTACTGCTGTGTAGTACAGTTTGGCGTTTGCATTTGGGAAATGCAGGGGCTCCGCGCCATGAATCCATGCGGTGTGACTGCTGATGATCATGTTGTAACTGCTGGCTACAGCCAGATACAGGTCAAAGATGCACACAGCAGCAGTAGGTGAGGACCTGTGTGGCTATGATGCGTGGTTGGACGTTCGTTTGATGAAGAAGGCGATGTGTACGAAATGTGTACACACACAGCAGCAGCAGTGTAGCAGTGGTGGCTTGGTCTACCACCAGTGCTTGCTTCACCACGCGCGTGGTTTTCTTGGTCCAAAAGATATTTACCTGATAATGCAACTGCCAACCACCCACTAAAAAAATGGAATATATTGCAACACTCGGTCGCCGATATTCGTATTTTGACCTTTACATCGAACGACTCTCCATCCTCACCATCACAACTGTCTAAAGAACACGCTCAAGGAGTCGCCAGATCAGATTCCCACACTCATCAGGACCACAAGTAATCAAACCTTCGCCCGTTGCTCCATTATTGTCTCCTTTT